CTACATCTAGTCCTTGGTTGGATTTGGCTACATAAACGTTAACAAAAGTTGTGATTTTTCGTTTGAAAGCAAATTTCAGCGAATCCTCTAGAATTGCGCCATTTGCTTAGCTAAATTCGTCACCTGTGTTTTACTCAGCTTCATTTCAATCCACAGCCGCCCTTTTACATAAAGATCACAGGGGAATATTTCGCTCCAGCTCCACATAGTTATTCTGCCCTTGGCCAACAAACTTCACCTACATTGCCTGATGGTGGTCAATGAATCTGGTGGCACCAGTGTGTGGCAACCTCAACTTTGTCCATGAGCTTGAGCACAGCTTTGACTACAAAGAAGTGTACCACTATCACTGTGTGTATGGGTAATAAATGAATTTAGCGTAGAGCACTTTCAGGTCTCCTGACTTAAAAAGGTGCGATATGAGTACAGGGCATTAACCATCTATGTATTATGGTAAACTGAAAAAAGGCGCCAACATCTTTGAGATACCAGATCCTGTATGTATATTCCCAGGATCTGAAACTGTTGTCCGGCAAAGAGGAGGATTACTGTGGACATCATAGTTAAAGCGAGGAGTGGCTGGAGCTCAGGCAGTAGCATGGAGATTACACCTAGAAACTAGGCACAGAGAGCACAAGCAGCGGTTGCAGGTGGCTGAGTTTTTAAAACCCCACAAACCTTTAAGAGTTTTCCACACATCACCGCATGTCAACAAGTTTTTCTGTCTTTCATAATGATTAAAACAGCTTCATCTTGGCTGTGTTCCTTCACTTTACACTTTCGTCCCATCCCTTTACTCCTGAAGGTGATCCGGGAAGGATTAACATGTTAATCACTTGCCCCGGCTGTGTCATTCATATGTGGTGTACATGCCATGATATGAGGTCATCAATCTGAGAATTTATCTAGTGTTCTTAGATAAAAGCAGTATGAAGCTAAAGAGGTTTACTGTTAAACACGTTCATCACACACAGCTGTTTTTATTTAACCTAGGCATGAGGCAAAAATGTTCAGTTCACTAAGTAATGATCTGCCGGATCCCCTTAGATGCCAAAAGGTACTGTTGCAGGTCTACTTTGAGCTCTTTATCCAATGACACTCTATGTCTAAGGAAGAGTTAGGGCATATACTGGTGAGGATTCTCAGTCATCCAGGTCATAATCATTCCAAAAAAGTTAAAACCAATCAACTGGACTTTGTTTCCAAGTTTAAAGACATTTTGCTTCCCATCCAGGAAGCTTTTTCTATTTATAATGTCAGAATTACAGTTGAGTTCAAAGCTTTAGAGTGGCCCAAAACAAAGCCTTATTTCGGCTTAGAAAACATGCAATTCGAACCAGACAAACGGGTCTGGGGAGCTGTTTGGGTTCTTTGTTAGCCTTTGTTAGCCTACAATACGCGATACTGGTCAATGCCTCTGGGGGGAGGGGGGGTGTCAATAGGGGGGAAATTAGGTGCATAGTAGGTTTACAAAAGCTTGTTAAGATAAATGGCTTTCTTCACACCCCTTTCAAACCACCTGTCTTTTTTGTCCAAATTTTGAACATTAAGGAGTGAGGGCAGGAAGAAAAAGGATGAATTTTAAGCGGCTGATATCTAGAATAGGGTTGCTTTGGTTTGATCCATCCTCCATGATCATAAATGAAGTCTACAATATAAAAGGAACAGTATACTTTAACCTCCATTCAACTATCTCTCATTAAATCACAAAATCAGTTGAAGTTATCTTCCTGAGGCAGAGACCACCTCCACCCTGACTCCATGGGGAGTTTCTGTCTTGTTCCACTTTAGAACAATGATTTGACACCATTGTCTCTATGGCATCGCTTTGACCTCCTGCCCAAGAACACCCCAAATAGGATCTATGAGCATTGACCCCACCTTTATTCAGTTTGTCAACAAACTGAATAAAGGTTTTTATATGATGGGAGTAGTTTTACCTACCGTACTTTGGTTTGGTTTGTCGATGTTTCCTTTTCTCACGCATGCATAAAGTACACATGATCCATCCGCTGAAAATGGAAATAAATATGAGTTAGAGTCATGCAGATTGAACGAAGAGGGAATTAGATCTCTAACAGATTTTTTTTTCTCATAATAAGGACGCACAATGTTAAAAATCTCAGGAAGGCGATAACAAATAGAAATATTGTGATGATATACAGTAGTAGCCATTGAAAATGTCCCCACAGTCCTTGATGGACCCTTGGTTGGTCCTTGGCTGGTACCCTGAGATTCCTTTTTTAAACATCAATCATGGCACTAAAATATTCTCTACATTAAGGTTTTTAGAGCAGCGGCCTCTCCTGGCCAGACCCTGTAATTCAGTTAAAGGGTGGAAGTAGGCTGACATTTACTGGGAAGGGCCATTTTAAATGGCGGCTACTGTAAGCTGTAATATAAAGCGGTTTGCATGTTTTATCTCTTCCATCAGTGCAAAGATCAGTCTGTGACCTTAAATCTGTTGGGTGGTTTCATTGTTGAGATTCCTCTGCCATGAGACCTTTGATTAAATGGTTAAATACTAAATAAGTATTAAAAATACAAGTTCATACCATGTAAAATATATATTATAATAATTCTTTTTAATAGTTATATTGAGCATCATGATGTTGCCTTGACAACACTTTGGATTAGCATGTCTGGTAAATATTATCTCTATAAAATGCCATGAGATGACTTGCGTTGTGAACTGGTACTTTCTAAAATAACTCAATTGGGGGAACAAAAAGGAGTATTTCAGAACTATCTAAACATTAATAGATTAACTGGTTGTTTTTTATCTACTGTTGTTACCAAACAATAAAGCATTTTAACATGTTTGTTAGAAGTTCTCTTGAAACGGATGCAGAGACCACCGTGATGCACTTCTGCCTCAAAACAATGAAGTGAAAGTTCACAGGAAAAAACCCACAAAAACAGTTTGATGCTGTTGTGGTTTTTCATAAATATTACAGGGACTTTTTTTTTTTTTTTACTTTTTAAATCAAAGTGTTAAATAAACTGTCAAAACTTTTTTGTTTCAATTCTCTTTGGTCTTTCTTTTCAATGCATCCTTTTTTTAAAAACTCGAAAGTATTTTCTTTTCTGAGATGTGATTTTTTTTTTTTTTTATGCATGACGGAAACCTTATGTGTGTGACAGAGAGAAATGAGGACAGATCTTAGATGGAGATAAAGTAGAGCAGCTTTGTCTCACCATCTGTCTGTCCGATGTTTATCTGTTCATCTCTGGTGTCATCCGTTCTCACTGCTGAGTAAATTGAAGCCTGGTCGCTGTCTGGGAGATAAAACCCACACATGATGTTAATGCAGAAGCAGCAGTTGGTCCAGAACTGCTGGTCCAGAACCTGCTGGTCCAGAACCTGCTGGTCCTTACACTACTGCAGGAATTACGCATAACATCATTAAGGTAATCAAATGTCCAACTGTTATAATGAGTAAATATTCATTGTCCACTTGGTTCTGATTGACATCGTGATTAGTCATTGGTTTCAGCTGCTGCTGCCAAAGAACCATCTGCTGCTGAAACCATGAAAGACAGTCTTCTGTTTGCTTTAGAGGAAATGTGAAAAAAAAACCACAAAGCTGCAGACATATTCTGCAAACAGAGTTTCATAAGATCAAGACACAGGAAACCAAAGGTTTTTAGCTCACACGGCATTTATCTCCATTTACTGACTCATTGACAACGAACTGAAAACGTCTGCAGTTACTCAATTAAACTGCTAATAATAAAAATCTATGATTTAGCACACAGGCAGAACATTTCATTAGCAGACGATGGAAGATCTGGATCACCCCCTGTCCCAAATCATGCAGGAAGAAACTATTTCTGTCTTGATTTACCTTACGTTTCCTTCTGTGGTAAAACCTGTCACTACATCAAGAGGTGTGAATAAACACCAAACCCACGAAGTTTGCCAAAAAAAAGGCTATACATTTCTTGCTTAGTAATAATAAAAGATCCAATCAAACATGGTGTTTGACTCCATCTTTCAACCTATTCATCCATCCATAATTATGATATTTCTAATAAAACTTTTATTTGTACAGCCCTTCTGAGAATGAACACTTGATGGCCAATGTAGTTAGATTTCCCCATTATTTCATATAATGTTTGCTGCTACATCCTTTTATCACAGCCTTGTGTTGCCGTATAAATACGATGCACTTCGACCTAAACCTCTAAAGCGAGGCATCCTGTCCTCTGCTGTCTTGATAGCACTGGGTTAAGGCAACGCTGAGTCAGCGCCTCGAAGCAAGCAGTTAGAACTATTACGGCTTCGGGCTCCACAAACCTTCTTCAACCTCTGAGGGGGTGAAAAATCCCCCACCTCAAAAGCTTTGAATGTGGCGTATCCACCTCTGCTCTCTGTTAATGTTTATGTGTTGCTAAGCTTGGCTCCACTGCTCATCCCCACATTTCCCACCGAGCAAAGAGTGGTTGAAAAGACTTTGAAAAGACGACATGATTTATGTCCAAACAATGTCTGCATTTGGTTGAAAAGCGAATGGTGAAAAGCCCTAATTTTCAGATTGTTTAAAAGACATAGAAACCTGGGTTTGCATCATTGATTCTATGTCTATTATTGGACTAAAATGGGACTAAATCAGACCGACTAAACATGATCCAATTTTCAACAACTATTTCAGGACAAAATCAAATATGACGGACCAACCAGATTTACCCTAAAAACCCACTCCTAAATGACGTCTGGTGTTTGGGGGGGTTAGCCCTGCCATTCAAGCTCTCTAAGCACCACCCACTTTGATGGACTTTTTCTATGTTTTTTTGGGCAGAACGTTGGAAAAATCAGGTTATTTACACTTCAAAGCATAAATCATGATCATCCCAATGCCCTACTTCCACTTAAATTTAACTTAAAAATGTACTGTAGAGATTGTCGATTCTAAAAAAAAACCAGCAGCAGTTACCGGTACACCTTTCTCCTCTGCCATCTTTCTTTTGGTTTGACTATGGCCATGGCAGCTCTTGCTTTCAACAGAGATATATCCTTCAACAATGATACCTCAATGTGATTGGGCGACCTGTTTAGAATCAGTCTCTAACAGTTTAAACTGGAGTGGTAATACACTGATTCTCTTGTGTTTTTAAAAGCACAAACAACACAAGAATTCAGCATGTGGGTGAAGTTAATGGGCCTCACAAAGATGGAAAACTTTACCTTTCCTGAATCTGGTTGGTTGTAGTTGCGTTTGTACATCACTGTATAGAAGTTCTTCATCTCCACCTTCATTTTCAAGGACTAGGAACAGACCAAAGGAAGGTGGTGAATTTATAATCTGAGGATTGATTACAGAGAAGACTCAATATGTCTGACAGAGGGGTGTTTTTGTTCTGTGTGGTATTTACCTTCAGGTTTCCTCTGGACATGACGTCTCACCAGTAGAAACAGAAGCAAAACTATTACAAATAAAGCGATACATAGAAGAACAATAAGGAGAGGAAAACGTGAAGAAGAATCCTCAGGAGATGGAGAACTGGACAAAGATGTGGATGGAGGAGGGTGGGAGGTGGTTGGTTTCCCTGAAATGAACCAAACATAATTATTCAGTTTTTGTCTCATTATGAAGGTTGAAGCAGAGAGAGAAGCTGCTGACCTTCAACAGAGATCCAGCTCGATGGAGACTCTCCATGACCACTGATGTTACACCTGTAGAGGCCTTCATCAGAGCTGGTCACATTGTGGAGGGTCATGTGACCTTTGGGCTCAGTCTTGATGAGGGAGCCATATTTATAGAAAGCAGCAGTGAGGTTGGAGGGAGTGGTCTTTGTTAGACAGCTCAGAGTGACGTCATCTCCCTCCATCACAGGGAGGACAGGACTCTGCAGGATCACTGATCCACCTCAACACAGAGACAAACTACAGCATTTCATCCATTTCCACACAGCTTCATCAACATTAACTCCACAGTCTGATCTTACCAGTGACAGTGAGCTGGATGCTGCTGCTGGCTGCTCTCTCTCTGGACAAACACCAGTAAACTCCACTATCTGATGAGATGAGGTAACTGATCTTACAGGTAGAACCAGCTGGTTTCCCCCATCCATCTCCACACTGAGTACCGGTTCCATTTGTGTTCCTCCATACAGTCCATCCAGCAGAGCTGTTGTTCTCCTCACAGCTCAGAGACAAACCGTCTCCTTTAAAGAACTGAGATCTGCTGGGACTCACAGTCAGACCAGCTGGGAGGACTGGAATATACGAAATATAATAAAGCATTGATCATGTTTGTTCCTGCAACCTGATGCTAGCATGTTAATGTTCTTTGCAAATCTTTAACTTTTTTTCCTGTGAATATTTAGCCTCATTAAAAAGTTAAAGAAGAAATGACTGACCTGGGTTTATCATGCAGAACAGCATCAGGCTTAAATCTGCAGAGAAACACAATTAAAGTGACTTTAAGAGAAGCGATTCACAATAGTATTTCAGACATTTATAATCCAATTATTGTCTGAGGGGAGCTTTAACAATTTAACACTTCCTTGTATTTTGCCAAAATCATATAGAGGGCAAACCTAATGTCATAGTATGTGTTTTAATGCAGTTTTAGGCAGAAATAAAGAGACGGTTCTTACCAAGCAGACATCTGACTGATGCTTCCTTCATTTCCTCTTCTTAGTGATTGACCTCTTTACATTGATGTTACTGAGACCAAGTGCCGCCCGCCCTCTTCCTCTGAGCCTGTTTTTTTTTTTTTTTTTTTTTTTTTACTTCCTCCTCTGTTGGCACTGTAGTTGACAGTCAAAACTTATATGATATGAAAATGTGTTTCTTTTTCTTAGAAACACCAGAGCCCTGTTTGAGCCATAAAGCCTGCATGTTTTAAAAGACCACTGATGCAAACTGACCCTTATGATAAAAAAACAGATTCAACAACTGGTTTAGCATTAGAGATTATTTATTGGAGTTTGTATCAGTGTAGGACTACAAAGGACATGAATCACACATTAATACTGATGCAGTAAAGGTTTACACATTTCTAGGAAAAGACATAGGTGAAAAGTATTATTTTGCTTAATCAGTTGGCTGCCATCTAGTGGTCATAACCTAGACTTCAATTAAAATTTCTCCTTTAATTTTAAAAATACTTTTGTTTGTGTGCTTTGTTTGACAGTTACTTTTTAGTTAGTTTGGATTTCTTCGATGTGCTCTGCTCCATATCCAGTTTTGTATTCTTGGGCTTTTTTCCATTTGATTTATGTTTCAAACAAGGCCACATCCACTAAACAGCCAAAGTAGGGGGTAACCACTTGCCAATCGCTCAGCTATGTGGATTAGCTGTAACACCAGGAGAGTGATACAGAAAGTAAAAATAGAAAATTGATAGTTGGGCTTTATTTGAGGGTAGTAGTGATGTGAGAATCTGTACTAAAATATGGATACCTCAGATACAAGAACTAAAGGCTCTTAAATGATTTTGTCAGGGTGCTGCGATGACGTCCGGCTGATGTGATATCAGATCAGCATACACCGTCAGACCAGTATACACATAGTTATATGCATGCATGTCGTCAGATCGCCACACTCTTCAAAAAATACCAACAATTAAGAAATTAATTTGTTTTTTGTACATGAATAAAGGGATACCTGCCCATGGAGGTAGTTTGAAGTGTATTTTTCATGAAATACTGAAGGGATATTCGCACATTGAGGCAGTTTAAAGTGTATTTAGAGAGGGGTCTAGTTGTACCTGCAGACATCTACAAAACGTGTCCCATATAAAACACGCCTCCAGTGTGGTCCTGTTTCTCTGACCGTGACTTGCTGGATGTGCTCTCTTCATCCTCTGGCATGGGAGCTGGCTCGGAGCTCGTCTGCCTGGCTGTGTGTTTCTTGGACGAGGCAGCCTTTTACAGCTGCTTTTTGTGTCTCTGCTTCTGTCTCTTTGAACCCCAGTCGGCCTCGGCAGATGGCCGCTCACACTGAGCCTGGTTCTGCTGGAGGTTTCTTCCTGTTTTTCCTCTTCACTGTCGCTACAAGCATGCTTAGTGTGAGGGATTATATTTAAGTCAATGAGTCAATGCAATCAACTTGTTTTCCATAGAGAGAACAATTGAAATCAATTTGACTGTATGATCTGGTGATGAAGTGCCTTGAAATCACATGTGTTCTGAAATGGCGCTATATAAATAAACTGATTGAATTGAGTTACTGTCTGTTTAAGTTTGGTTGGACCAGTAGGGGAATGTTAATTTCAGAAGGAGGGTTCTTGCAGTTGGCAGCTAGAATATGTGGCAAAACCCTGTGAGAGTTGTTCTGTTATACTGACCAAAAAAATTAATGCTTGGGTGTCATAATGAGGCGTTACACTAGTGTCAGTAGCTTAAACTACAGTATAAGCCTAGACCTAGTGCTGGTGGGACTGCTCAAAGCTCAGTGACACAACATCTGGCAATGCAAAGAAACAAGGTCAAGTTGAGGAGGAGCAAAGGGATATCCAACACACTCATGATGTGAGGGAAACGACACTCCAACTGGCTGCAGAGTCTGGCTTCTCCCCAGGGTTATCTCAGCTGGAGGGTCATTGGTATCATGACTAACTTTGCGGCAGAACGAAGCTAAAATCATGTGATATGCCATTGCAGGGAGTAAACAATGATGGAGGCGCCCATGGAGAACTCTCTACAGTAAAGATTGAGAAAGCTAGGTTCAATGGCAAGACGATTTGGAAAGTGTTCTTTACCCAGCTTGAACTATCAGCTGTTGCACATGGCTTTTCTTAGGAACATATAAATCTCTTAGCTTTGTATCTGTATGGAAATGCAGCAGCATGCCTGAAAGGGAGAGGAGAGATCATATTTTTCTAGTGAGAAATATAAGAGAGTTAGGGCAATATAATCAGCTTGCACTACCTAGATCAGAGCTATACAACAGACAGAGACTGGTTGGAGAGTCGCTGCATATTCTGGCCAATTAAATTTTGTGACAACATGCCCCTAGCAGTTCAAACCAACCAATGGTAAGGGCCTGCAGGCCCTGGAGTTGGCATTGCGGAGGGAAATTCTATCAGGATCCTCTGGAAGCGATAAGGATATGCCAGAGCAACATCTACAACTGCCGAAAGGCTGAGGGGACAGCTCATTATGATGCCCTTCTGCCACCTCCTTCCAGCACCTGACCACACCACCGACAACACAGCTGCTGGGGATGTGGACAAGCTGGGCATGTCATCAGCCAGTGTCTGGTGAGATGTGCACTACACTGCTGCGAACTGGCTAGGAAAAACAAATCCAAAGCAACAATGACATGGATGAGTTTATACACTTCACAGTAAACCAAGGCCGAAAACAACAAACAAAAATAATGCTGCGTTCACACCGGACGCAGAAGGCGCAGCAGAAGCAGCGAGTTTACATGCAAAGTCAACGGTTGATGTGCGTCAAGGCGCAGCAAAAGCTCCCGCAGCTCCAATCAGAGAAGCTGATCTGGGAGCTGGCAGGGAGACAGACACAGCGCTGCTGGTGCAGCTCACTATGATCACTCCTCTGAAACAGCTTGTTAAAGTCTAAATTAATAATGCCGAAGTCTGCCGGCAAAACATGTTAAAAAATGTTACATTTTATTATCCTGGTGCCTGCAGTGTGGAATACATGCATGAAAAACGCCTTCCAGCCGCCACGGCGAAGAGGTGACCGTAGGCTGCTGTTGAATGGGATTCTCAGTGATAGAGCACAGCTGGTAAGTGGGGGTCTGAGTGGCTACGACAGAAATAATATTTGAAGGCAGGATGGTAATCTGGATGAACTGACTGCACAGATTAAGTTTTCAGGTGGTTTTTCTCATTGAAAAACATAACTGCCATTGTTCTAGGCAAAGAAACGATAGGGTAGCTCAACGCAGACCCACAGACCCACTGTTCCACCTTTTAGCTGGAGCAGTAAAGATGCTTCAGCCACGTGTCAGAACTAAACTTGTACAAGCATCAAAAATGAAGCAGCACGTTATATTTATTAAAAGCACTCTCCTCTGTTACTCAATTTGTAGATCAATAAAGCAAGATTCTTCCTTTTCAAAATCCCATTCCTTATCAAAATCGGAGGTGAGTAGCAACTAGTTACATTTATTCAGTTCCATTTACCTGAATAACTTTTAAAAAAATAATAAAAAAGCATACTTGTAGAATACTTTAATTACTGAGTTTTATAGATCAAAAAATATTAAATCAGTTGATATTATCATGGGTATTAGGTAGAGCAGTTACTCACTATTTAACTTTTTTACAATCTACTTTTTTACTCCTATTTGAGTAACTTCTTTAGAGAGTATTTTACTTTTACCTGCAGAAAAGCAGGATGAAGTAGTGCTACTTTTTCTGAACTACCATTTTTGGGTACTCAACCTACCTATTGTGAGAACTGTAATAATTGAGGTTCTAAATTACATTTTTGCAGCAGAAACAGAATTTCAGAAGATAAAAATTATAAATTGTACTATTAAGAAATAAGTTTTATATACCTAGAAATGTTTACATGATTTAAGTGGCCATTTTAACATTATCAGCTTGATTTATTATTTATTTATATCTGAAATAAATGGATTCATAGTCAAATAATACAAAGGATGACCAGTAATATTAGGAATAGAGAGATCTGAGATGTATTTCTAGACATCCAGAATGTTTATTCCAGATGTGAAGAATGTAATTCTGTTTGAAATGGCCATTTTGACAAGGAAAATAGTGTTTTTCAGAATACATATTCAGTAAAGCTAGTACATATCAAGAAGGCTTGATAACATTACGGGTTTATTTCTTGAATGTTAGTGGATCAATGTATCTATTTAGTTGAAATCATCTGGCAGCAGTTAATGATGAAAAAAAACCCTGTTGTTCTAATAGATTAAACCTCTTCATTGTCTCACTGGGTTCATCCTCAGTTTGATTCAGTCTTCTTTTGCACAGTAAATACTAAGTGGCTGTTTCCAGCCGCTTTATCAGGCCAATAAATGGTCGTTATCAGTGGTCATCAGGCCCAAATAATTGCTTCAGAATGTTAATTCATTTTCCCTCCTGCGAAATTAATGAATCCATTTATGTGTTATTTGAAAATAATTTCAGTAGTTCTTCATGTATTTAAAAAAAAAATTAAAAAAAATGTGTATGTTACTCATATTAAACAAACCAAAAACAGGTAATCTCATGCCATGTCAGCAGAGTTGTAGAATCCTCTCCCTATAAATATTTAATTCTCAGTGAAAATGTCAGTTTCCCTGATTTCAGGCTTAGAAAACATAGGCTCTGTTCGAAAACCTAGGACGCATCCTTAGAAGACCGGATTCGAAGGCCGATTACGTCATAGCGCGGCGCCGAGGTCTG